AAAGTTAGGGTTGAAATGCTACTGACTCTATCTGGCTCACACGAGCCAGTAGTGCCAGTGGCGGTTAGTTTGGAGAACCGGTAGTGCCAGCGGTGGGAGGCTCCACCCTCCCCAAACCGGGACATTCTCACGTCCCGGTTTTGACCATCTGTGCATGTGCAGAAGGGTTTGCAAATGTGGAGTGTGCACATCAGTGAACTGGTAGGAAAGATACCGTATTTTTCGGAGTATAAGACGCACCTACCTTTTTTGTTGAGGAAGAAGAAGAAAAAGAAATCTGCCTCTGCCTCTGAGCAATTTTGCCTCATTGCAGCAAACAGCAAACAGCCTGCTTTACTTTTATTTTCGTTTTCAGCAGAGCTTGATTAGCACAAGGGGAAAAAAAATCTGCTCCAGCAATTTACCTCTTTGGAGCAAGCAGCAGAGCCGGGCAAAAAACAGCTGAGAGCAAAACAGCTGAGAGTCGGGAGGCTGATCCAATCAACTTGTGCTAATTAGGCTGTGCTGAAGCTGAAAGCAGCTGTTTTTTTCTTGCTGTTTGCTTGCAAGGAGGTAAACTGCTGCGAGGCACAGGCCAAAGGGTTGGGGCCAGTGGGTGGACGGAGCAACATTCAGTGTATAAGACGCACCTAAATTTTCACCCCCTTTTAGGGAGGGAAAGGTGCGTCTTATACTCCGAAAAATACGGTAAGTACATTTCACACCAGCAAAAGTACACTCACTTAGATGATGCGTCCAACAACTACAACCTCAGAGGGTTTCTATGGGACAGGAAAAAGATGTCCGTGACATAGTATTTTGCCCAAGATTGTCTCCAATCTTACAGGAGCAATTTAATCTATTCTGTTGCCCTAGAGCTAAATCAGAGAACATAGATTTGCAGGTTCAGCTTATTAAGCTTGTGAATCTGAATATTTTAGCTTCCTAGGTGTTTAGCTATCAGGCATATGTAACACTAGCTTTGTTGATTCCTTGCAATACAAGAAAACAAACAAAAAAAAATCATTGAGTGTCTGGTAGGTGCATCATTTCCATCGACTGTCATTCAGGATAAGGCAACCTGTTTCATTTTCGGAAATAACACCTTGAGTTGTGAGTTTTAACCATCACAACCAGTCGAATAATCACAATGCAGCTTGCTGTCGTTTACGTAATTCAGCTGTTCATCAGCAAGGACAGTTTCCTTTGGCTGCAACGAAAATTAAGATGTTTATTTTTTTTTTTTAAAAAAAAAAGACATTTTAATTCCAGTGTTGTGTTGCTGTTGATAAAAATAGGATCGCCAACATGATTGCCAATGTCCGATGACGGATATGGCACAAGAATAGAATAGAATAGAATAGAATAGAATAGAATAGAATAGAATAGAATAGAATAGAACAGAACAGAACAGAACAGAACAGAACAGAACAGAACAGAACAGAATTCTGTGTGATTGGACACACAAGGAATTTGTCTTTGGTGCATATGCTCTCAGTGTACATAAAAAGACAAGATACATTCGTCAAGAATCATAAGGAGCCTGAGTGGTGTAGGAGGCTAATGCCTCCTACTAAGGCAGCATTTAACATCCAGCTGCCTGCAATTACTGCAAGTTCAATTCTCACCAGGCTCAAGGTTGACTCAGCCTTCCATCCTTTCTAAGGTAGGTAAAATGAGGACCCAGTTTGTGGGGGCAATAAGCTGACTTTGTATAACATATACAAAAGTATGAAGGCTATTGCTTAACGCATTGTAAGCCGCCCTGAGTCTCCGGAGAAGGGTGGCATATAAAAATAAATAAAAATAAAATAATAAATAAATAAGGTACAACACCCAGTGACAGTCATGCAGTACAATAAGCAATCAAATCATACTAGGGAACAATATCAATATAAATCACAAGGATATAAACAACAAAGTCACAGTCATGCAGTCATAAGTGGGAGGAGATGGGTTATTATAGGAACAATGAGAAGATTAATAGTAGTGCAGATTTAGTAAATAGTTGGACAGTGTTGAGGGAATTATTTGTTTAGCCGAGTGATGGCATTCAGGAAAAATCTGTCCTTGTGTCTAGTTGTTCTGGTGTGCAGTGCTCTATAGCGTCGTTTTGAGGGTAGCAGTTGAAACAGTTTATGTCCAGGATGCGAGGGGTCTGTAGATATTTTCACAGCCCACTTTTTGACTCGTGCAGTATACAGGTCCTCAATGGAAGGCAGGTTGGTAGCCATTGTTTTTTCTGCAGTTCTAACTATCCTCTGGAGTCTGTGTCTGTCCTGTTGGGTTGCAGAAGATAGAAGTGCAGATGACAGACTCAATAATTCCCCTGTAGAACTGGATCAGCAGAAGAAGAAGTGGTGTTGTAGCAAGAAAATAAAATAAAATATTTGAATCTTTTCTTTCTAACAAGGAGTTGGTTTTGTTGAATTCTTCAGTATCGTCACACATTAAACAAGCATACATGCATATTTCTTTAAAAGAAAACTGAAAAGTAAACACATAGGATATTTGACTAACCAAAAACAACAAGAAAAAATTTGGTTGGAAGCCCTAAATCCATTCCCAATATTATGTGTTAAATCTTCCAAAAAAATCTTAAATATCCTGCACTTGCTAAACTTGAACCAAGCTTTCTCAAAAGATACCTTTTGCCTCCCTGGAAAATATCTGCATTTTTTTTAAAAAAATTTTTTCCATAAAAGCGAAAATATTTTATGACCTCTTTTTGCAAATACGTTCAAAGTTTGCATACTTTCCCTTCCGCATCATGACCATCCTAGCAGCAGAGAATGTAAAATAATGGGACAATTGCCAAGAAGATGGGGAAAAAAATAAGCAAAAATTTCCCGATTCCAGAGAATCTGCTAAATAATTTATCATACCCATGAACCACTTGGGTGAAATGCTATTTAGTCCACCCAAAAATGATTGACAGTTGGCCCTACCTAAAAACACACCATTCTGTTGAGGTTTTTTTTTTATTGTTGTTTTAGCTATATATAAAAAAGAAAGAAAAGTAGAAATGGGAAATTAGGGGAAGGAAAAAGTGAGGGGAAAAGAAAATGTAAGGTACAAGGAATTTTTTTTTAAAAAAAAAAGGTGTTAACATTGGACTCTCTTTATCACAGTACAAAAAGAGTAATCAAAGAATTTGGAAGAATACAATGAATCTTAATATAAATGGTGATAGTTCACAAATATTGTTAGCTGCAAATGGAAATACGTACTATTTCCACAGCAAGGAAGATAAAGCAGAAACGGTTAAATCGATCATTTTATTCAAAGAGGAGAATATATTTAAGCACATTTTTCATTTGGATATCACGTCGGGATTTTCTGCTTGTGATGAAATGAAACTTTGACTTTGGTTTTGTCAATTAGATAGATTTGTCGTTGTAGAAATGGCTAGTTATAGACTAATGTGCAAAAGCAAAAAAAAAAAAGAGTTGAGGCTGGAGTGTTTTAAAACACACCATTCTGACTGCAAAAATGGAAGAGATCTGGACTCGAAGCAATAGTTTTTAGAATATTAGAATAGAATAGAGCGGGAAGGGACCTTGGAGGTCTTCTAGTCCAATCCCCTGCTCAAGCAGGAGAACCTATACCATCTCAGACAAGTGACTGTCCAGCCTCTTCTTAAAAATCTCCAGTGATGGAGCATCCACACTTTCTGGTGGCAAGCTGTTCCACTGGTTAATTGTCCTCACTGTTAGGAAGTTTCTCTTTAATTCCAGGTTGCTTCTCTCTTTGATTAGTTTCCAACCATTGCTTCTTGTCCTGCCCTCTAGTACTTTGGAGAATAATTTGACCCCCCCTCTTCTTTGTGGCAGCCCCTCAAATACTGGAACACTGCTATCCTGTCACCCCTAATTCTGGGTGGGGGGGAGTTACTCACTCCCTCTGAAAAGGCTCGCAATCTAGGCGTCCTCCTGGATTCGCGGCTGTCCTTGGTCGACCATCTGACAGCTGTGACAAGGGGGGCTTTTGCACAGGTTCGCCTGGTGCGCCAGTTGGGCCCTTTCCCAGACAGGGATGCCTTCCGTGACCTATGCTCTCGTCATCTCTCGTTTGGATTACTGCAATGCCCTCTACATGCCCTTGTGGTGCACCCGGAGGCTCCAACTGGTCCAGAATGCGGCCGCGCGCGTTGTTACGGGGGCTTCCCATTACTCCCGTGTTACACCTCTCCTGCATGAGCTGCACTGGTTACCGGTGGTCCTTCGGATCCGCTTCAAGGTGCTGATACTTACCTATAAAGCCCTTCGTGGCATGGGTACTTGCAGGATCACCTTCTGCCTGCCTCCAACCGCCCAGTGCGCTCACATAGGACTGCCCTCCTCCGGGTGCCATCGGCCAAACAATGCCGGCTGATGACGCCCAGGATGAGGGCGTTCTCTGTGGGCACGCCGATCCTCTGGAATGGTTTACCCACTGGGCTCCGGATGGCCCCTGACCTCCGCTCTTTCCGCGGTGACCTGAAGACATGGCTTTTCCAACAAATTAGCTGATCTGATGGGAGCTTTTAACTTTAATCCTTTGGGGATTTTAATTGAGTATTTTAGTCATAATTTTACTGTTTTATTGTTTTATCTTTGTGAGCCGCCCCAAGTCCTTCGGGAGAAGGGCGGCATATAAGTATAAATAAATTAAACTAAACTAAACTAATTCTTCTTTTCTCTAGACTAGCCAAACCTAAAACCTGCAGCCCAGTAGTAGATTTCAAATCCAGGCGCTACTGGTTCGCTATCGGTAGTTGCACGAGCAGCACTTCCGCGCATGTGCAGAGTGTTTTTGATGACATCTGGGTGGTTGGGCAGAGCTTCCCGCCACTGCCGCTACCAGTTCGCCCAACTGGGGCGAACCGGGAGCAACCCACGTTCTTCATATAGTTTAATCTCCAGGCCTTTGGTCATTTTAGTTGCTCTTCTCTGAATTTTTTTTCCAAAGTCTCAACATCTTTTTTATAGTCTTTTTTTAAAAAAAATCTTCTCTGTATTTCTTTTCCTTCTCTGTTCTAGGTCAAGGATTTATAAGCGATGATGAGTACTTGGAAATCACGGGCATCACGAGAGAACAATCTGGTGAATATGAATGCACCGCGGTCAATGATGTGGCAGCGCCCGATATTCGGAGGGTAAAGGTGACCGTTAACTGTAAGTGAATCTCGGCGCATAGTCATTTTTTCACAGAGCCATGGATTTTCTAAAAGGCATTTTCTAGTGTGATGCATGTGTATCTTTATGTTGTGTACGCGTGAAGATGTGAGGACTTCCAAGTCCACACACCTTCAAGCTACCAAGGTTGAAAAACACTGGGGTAAGAAATGCTACTCCAATTATAGCAATAGCACTTAGACTTATATACCGCTTCACAATGCTTTACCGCCCTCTCTAAGCAGTTTTCAGAGTCAGCCTCTTGCCCCCAACAATCTGGGCCCTCATTTTACCAACCTTGGAAGGATGGAAGGCTGAGTCAACCTTGAGCCAATCAGGATTGAACCTCTGGCAGTCAGCAGAGTTAGCTTGCAATACTGCAGTCTAACCACTGGGAAAGAAGGGAGGGAGGGAGGGAGGAAGATAGCAATAGCACTTAGATTTATATACCACTTCACAGTGCTTTACAACCCTCTCTAAGCGGTTTACAGAGTTAGGGAGGGAGGGATTGAGGGAGGGAGGGAAGGAAGGAAGATAGCAATAGCACTTACACTTATATACCGTTTCACAATGCTTTACAGCCCTCTCTAAGCAGTTTTCAGAGTCAGGCTCTTGCCCCCAACAATCTGGGTCCTCATTTTACCGACCTCAGAAGGACGGAAGGCTGAGTCAACCGTGAGCCTGGTGAGATTCGAACTGCCAAATTGCAAGCAGCCGGCAATCAGCAGTAGTAGTCTGCAGCCAGTGGTGAAATGTAAAATTTGTTACTAACGGTTCTGTGGGCGTGGCTTGGGGGGGTAATGTGACTGAGTGGGCGTGGTCAACTTTTTTGTTTTTTTTACTTTTAAAACCATTTTTTCTACAACGTCTTTGGCCGAAGAGGTTGTAAAAAAATGCTTTTAAAAGCCTCTGACGATACCAGCTGAGTTGCCTGATCATCAGAGGCTTTTTTTTGTTTTGTTTTTTTACTTTTGAAAGCATTTTTTCAGGCGAAGAGGTTTAGAAAAAATGCTTTAATTTTTTTTTTAAAAAAAACCCTTTGATGATTGCGCGGCTCAGCTGGGCATGGTGGGGGGGGCAGGGATTTTTTCTACTGGTTTTCCAAACCACCCGCCGCCATCACTACCGGATGGGGCGATCCGGTCTGAACCGGGAGCATTTCACCCCTGCCTGCAGTACTGCATTTTAACCGCTCTGCCACCAGAGCTCATCTCCTTACTGGAAAAGCGGGTTTTGATGAGAAGACTTCAGAGCTTGCCTAAAATTGCTGTGTAAAATCTCTGACTGCAGGAACCACTGTTCCCATTGAGTTTTCAGTGAGACTTATCCCAAATCTAAACTGTGGCATTAACCCGACATTGGTAAACTCTGATTTTCCAGTCCCATCGCCTGGGATCCTATATTAGCCTTCTATTCCTGAATTCCAAGGTAACAAGGAAGGGTGGGCTTAAGCTTTATTCCTGAAACAGAGGCAACTGAGTTCAAACTAACAAGCCCACAATAAACAATATGATTTTCTGATGTGTCTTCTAGATACTGGTTGGGTTCACATGACGTGCTAAAATCCAAACATGGTTTAGCACCGTAAAAACCTAATGATTATGGATTATAAATGATGGTTTACAACTAAGTGGAATATATGTGAACCTAGTAAATTTCTTTCCAGCTTCTACACAATGTTAAAACAAAAATAAAAAGAAAGAAAGAATAGTGGTACACAGAAATTATTAGTGACTTACATTAGATGTGATTAATTTGGCAGTGGTTTCACTACTAGGATATTTAAACCAGCCTGCCATTCATTCATTAGAGCAGGGATCTCCAACCTTGGCAGCTATAATACTCGTGGACTCCAACTCCCAGAATTCCCCAGCTAGCATGTTTGGCTGAGGAATTCTGGGAGTTGAAGTCCACAAGTCTTAAAGTTGTCAAGTTTGGAAACCCCTGCATTAGAGGCAGTAGTGGGTTCCTCTTACCTTCGCTATTGGTTCAGAACCGGGAGCGCGTGCATGCAGCACTTCTGCACATGCGCAAAGCATCCATGATGATGTCCGGGTGGGTGGGCGGAGCCTCCCGTCGCCGCCACTACTGATTTGCCCGAACCGGCCTGAACCGGTAGAAACCCACCACTAATCAGAGGACATGTTTCAAAGCCAACCAAATCAGTGTAATTGTTTGAAAGCTATTGATTAGTGCGTAAGCTTGTTTTACTACTGATATTAATATTTTCCAAGACACTTCTGGGTTTTTCTTGACTTGAGGGCTGGATCACCATTATCTCCGATCTTGTTTAGTTGCATTGGGATCAGCCTTTTTTTAAAAAAAATGCATCTCACTCTAAAATGTGGGCTTCTTTCAAAAGCAGGTCAGATGATTGTCTGCACCTGTTGGAAATGAATTCAACTAACAAGCATGGGTCGATGAAAACGAAGAGATTTTATTAAAAGAAAATAACAAAAGCTATTTTGCAAAACAGGGTGGGTATATCCCAGCAGATCTCAACAGAGGAGTTTAAGCCAGGAAGCCACACCTAAAATTTCAAAAGCATTACATTTTTTAGTTCCCTAGCCTGACGGCCCATTTCCTTCCTCCTTTGGACTTATTGGACAGGTCCTCCAGGGTTTCAGCTAATCCAATATACCTCAAAGGAATACATTATCTCTCTCTTTGTTTTCTCAGATTACTTTCTCTTCAGCACCTCCTGTACCTCTCCGTACCTATCCATTACACATCTACATAGCATCTCTCAGTTTTAAGGAATGTCTCCGTGCACCCCGAGCAGGCCCCTCTCCTATGCCAAAGAACAGAATAATGCCCACATGTCCTTCTCCAAGCGTATGCACCATAGACATGGGAGAAAAGTTCCCGAAAGCATATAATCTAACTACATTGTAAAATTCAGTCATATTTAGATCTTAATGCAAGAAGGATACAATTGATTTCATACATATGTTTTTAGAGAGGTACATGTATTATAAATGCTTAACAAATAAATGCTTAAATGGAAAATACTTTTGTAGCAGCATAACATATATTGTACAATAAAATAACAAGTTTCTGTTCAATTATTACTATTCCCTTCGTTACTATTTTATTTTTGAATTCCCTTATATCCTACACACCCATTCTCTGACTTCCTTCTCCATAGAAAGGAAACATTTTCCTCATCAATTCTGTATCACTTTTTTTTCCAGGTATCAGGTATCAAAACACAGGTGCTCTGCATGCAGAAACATGTTCTGCCTCTTAGCTGTGTTAGAACATGCAGCAAAATAATGCTCTTGTCCCACCAAGTTCATAAATCCTATTAGAACAACACCTCCAGGATCTAAGCTATAGGTGTGCCATCTAGCTAGATAATTCTTATAAATTAATAGCTTGACATTTTCTAGCTATTATCCCCCAAAATAAAATAGCTCATCTCTACTGCAGCAGCTGGGAGAATATTTAGTAAGAGACTGTTGTCTTTTCCTCTTAACTCCTTTATTTTCTTCTGAAGAGAAATTCAAAATTAAAACACAGTGGGAGAGAAATTCTGCCAATGCTTAACCATGCACGCACGGCAGATTAAGAAATCTCCACCTTTCAGGAGAAACATGAGGAAGTTTGACACAAGAACATCACATACTTAGGTTTAATTATGCTTCATGCCTTTTGCCCTTCTGGACAATCATTTTTTAAAAGCTTCATTAGCAACGTGAAGCACAAAGGACGTGGAACTATGCAGATTAAAATAGTACTGATTATTTTGAAAGGGTCTTGGCATTTTGGAGGCGATTCAAGAGCTGTCAAACCTGCCAGCCCTCCCTCCATGGGAAAAAAAAACACAGAAAAGAAAGTTTCTTAGTTTGACTTCACTGAAAGGCCTATGTCAGGTTACTGTTATTAGCATGTTAGCACTTTGGTACATCACTTTGAGGTTCTCCTAATCAAGTAGTAGGTTCTATTCAGAGAAGAACTGGAGTACATCAAGATAAGCATAGATTCCTTCTTATATTTCTGTCTTGTCCTGGAATCATTTCAAGTTTATTTATTTATTTAGCATATGACAAATACATGGACTTAAATATACCGTGTTTCCCCGAAAATAAGACCCTGCCTTATATTTTTTTGAACCCCGAAATAAGCCCTTGGCCTTTTGGGGTGCATGGAGCAAGACGGGGATTCTCTTGCCATCTTACCTGATTTCCAGCTCTGTCTCCCTAACCCTAACCAGAGGAAATGGCGGGGACCAGCTGTGCATGCATTTAAATATTTTCAGGGAAGGCTTATTTTCGGGGGAGGGCTTATTTTCGGTAAAACACAGTAGTAGTTCCAATGTTAATGTCCAGTCCACCCATCCATTCAAGGGCAGGGTGGTCTATGTTGAAAAAATCAGACATTGGGCCGATATAAGCTCTTGATGGACATTTAGTCACAATGTGATAGATATTTTGTTGAGGAGCACCACAATCACACTGAGGGATAGAGGCAAGACCCCACTTAAACAATGAGTCCTGACAGTCACCATGTTGGGTACGGATCCTGTTCAGAGTTGACCAATACTGGCGAGGAAGGTCAACGCCTGGCACCTTTTCTGTAGGGTCATCTATGTAACTGCCTATATCTAGGCATTCAGCAGCCCATTTGGCTTTCCACAGTGTGTGGATGTCAAAGTTGTTAGACAGCTGTTGAGCGAGTGCCAGAGAGGGCTTCCTGGATTTAAGCCTGCCAATTGATAGATGAGGAAGATCAGTATGAAGACAGGAAGAAGTGGGTTTCTCATAATTTTGTTGTACTCCTCAGTGGCAGGTTCCTCCCGGTTCGGTCCGGTTCGGCCGAGCCGGTAGCGGTGACGATATGACGTCACCGAACCGGTTCTCCCTCCCCGCCCACTCCCCCACCCACCCACGTTATTCTTCCCTTTTATTTGGTCCCTATTTGGATCTATTGCTGCCTCCTGAGTCCCAGCTGATGACTAGAGGGAAAAAAAACTGTTTAAACTCTTGCCGCGGGGCTTCAAAGGGCCGTCCTACAGCTGATCAGTGTTAAAAGCAAACAAATGAGTCGAGTCGTACGTGTGAGGACTGGTCGTAAGTGCGAGGACTTTCCAGAAATGACTCTGACCAGCTAGCCACGCCCACCTAGTCCCATGACCTCCAAGCCATGCCCACAAAATAAGCCACGCCCACAGAACCGGTAGTAAAAAAATTTAGAACCCACCCCTGGTACTCCTTCACTAACGCTTCCTGCCTTTGTAAAGTTGGTGGTGTCTTGAACTAGTGGCTCAAGACAAAAAAAAAAAAAGAGGCCCATTTTGTTTATCTGTTGGCCTGTATTTAGAGAACCAGGAGTTCTACAGAGATGTCTGACTGCCAACTGTCATTAACTGCCAATTCTTCAATGTAGTCTGGCTACCAATTGTTGCTAGTCGTTTGATTCACACTTCCGTGCTATCCAGGGTGCACCACGAGGAGGCAAACTAGCATCACACCCCATCATTTCAAGTTCTTGTCCATAACTTTGTGATCAGAAAGCTCTTTGTGGCAAGTAATAATAACTTTATTGTCATTGTATGTGTATACACAGTATACCCATACAACGAAATTCAGGTCCAACACACATAACAATCCCCGAACACCCCCACCCACCCACCACAAATTCCCCACCCAAACATCCACACAACAGACCAAGTCATGCTGTGGTGGCCGATGGTGGCCCTTTAGTTCATTGTTGAGTGCAATTACAGCTCTGGGATAAAAACTATTCTGAAAACGTGTGGTCCGAGTTTTAATTATCTTAAGTATCTTCTTCCAGAAGGCAACAGTCCAAAAAGATTGTAAGCAGGATGGGAAGAGTCTCTGAGAATGTTACGCAACTTCCTCAAACAGCGAGATTTGAAGATGTTGTCCAGGGCTGGTAGCTGGAGCCCAATGATATTCTGAGCAGTTTTAATGATTCTCTCTAGAGCATTTTTGTCTGCTACAGAGCTGCTCCCATACCAACTACATTGTCCAGTTTTCTTTTCTGAAGGAACTTTTCTCCTTTTCAGTCAGTTGGGCCTCCGGGAGCTTTTAGACCCATACATTTGAACAAACTCAGGATGAGGAAGACTAAATTACTTCCATTTCTATATCACTGTCCCAACTGATTCTGTGCGCCATCAGGATTTCATTCACGGGGCGGACCTGGCAAATATCTGAAAGAGTTTGAAATAATCTTCCTTTCCTTTCCTCTCCAGATCCTCCATCCATCTCCAGTCCTAAGAATACTGGTGTTTCAGTTGGTCAGAAGGGGATCTTGCGTTGTGAGGCCTCAGCTGTTCCAGTAGCAGAATTTCAGTGGTTTAAAGAAGAAACCAGGTACCTAAGCAGTCTTTTAAGGCCATCACAGTAGCTTAACAATGGCAGATGTATGTTCTTGGGAAGAAATGGCTTTCTTGAGCTAAGGAGAGGTCATCCAGGGCATTAGCTCAGCTTTGGAAACTCCTTCAAATCCTAAACTCCACCCTAATGAGAGTGAAATAGCTAGAGAGTGCACAACAGCTATTCTGTGTGTTTCTTCTGCCCTGTTATACCTTCTCTAATCTGGACTTCAGTTCCCAGAATTCTTAGCAACAGCCATGCTAGCTGAGGAGATCTGTGAGTGAAGTCCACACAGTTGGAGGATACAATTAAAGTCTGCATTAAGACAAATTAAATAAAATATACTATAGTTTTCAGAGTATAAAACTCACCGGACTATAAGATGCACCTACCTATTTTGGTGAGGAAAACAAGAAAAAGAAATCCGCTTCTGCCTCCCAGCAATTTTGCTTCGTTGCAGCAAACAGCAAATAGCCTGCTTTACTTTCATTTTTGTTTTCAGCATAGCTTGATTAGCACAAGAACAAAAAAATCTGCTCCAGCAATTTACCTCCTTGCAGCAAGCAGCAGAGTCCTGTGTAAAACAGCTGAGAGTCGGGAGGCCGATCCAATCAACTTGTGCTAAACCTGAAAGGAGCTGTTTCTTCTTGCTGCTTGCAGCAAGGAGGTAACTGCTGGGAGGCAGAGGCCAAAGTGTGGGGGCCGGTGTGTGGGTGGGGCTACATTTGGTATATAAGACGCACCTAAATTTTCACCCCCTTTTAGGGGGGGGGAAAGGTGCGTCTTATACTCCGAAAAATACGGTAATTAAAATGGAGCTGTCATGGTCCTGACTAACAAATCCAAGCAAATCAGAACTCTGAGGCTGAGGTCTTCCTCTAAGAACTTCTTTATTGGGTACATCGAATCAGCACGATCAAATGGAAAACTAACTCTAAATGTTTCCCACGGTTTCAGTATAATTCAAATAGGAAATAACTCCCTCCTCAAAAGTCACAAGTCACATTGACCAGTTAGGTTAAATGGCGGGCTCTCCAGGCACTCCTCCCCATCTCTATCCACCACCTGTAGAGATGACCTTGGTTCCCACAAGAAAGTGCTGTGTTTTGTCTAGCAACGCATTGCATTCTACTTCCCCTTCCTTCCCACTCTGTGTGGCAACTGAGGAATAGAAAAATGGCTTCTGCCAGGTTTGATTTGAAGTTGACAGTAGCATTATGTATCCAAGCACAAACGCACATCAGCAATATTGAATCATATTATTGTATTGTATTAAATTTATCTTAAATGCAATTCGAGTTAATTCCAGGCTTTAGTAATATTTTCTTTATGACGAGCATAGGAAATTACCTTGTATAGTCTTTGATCAACACACCATATTCTAGCTTACCTTCAACTCCTGATGGCTCTTCAAGGATTTGGAACTGAAACAAATGAAGTAATAAATATATGGCTGTTGCTGAAAAACACAGAGCAGTGGGGAGGCCTTGTTGAACTGGCTAGAACCATGATGACGAACCTATGGCACGCGTGCCACAGGTGGCACACGGAGCCATATCTATGGGCACGTGGGCGTTCCCCTAGCTCAGCTCCAGCGTGCATGCGTGCATGAGCCAGCTGATTTTCGGGCCTTTCGGGCCCACCAGAAGCCGGGAAACAGGCTGTTTCTGGCCTCCAGAGGGCCTCCGATGCAAGGGGAAGGCTGTTTTTGCCCTCCCCAGGCTCCTAGAAAGCCTCTGGAACCTGGGGAAGGTGAAAAACAGGCCTACCGGGCCCACCGGGCCATCATGTGCTAAAAGCAGGGGGAGCACAGATGGCTTGTGCACGCGTGCACGGTGGGCAGGGCGCATTGAATTGTGGGTGTGGGCATGTGTGTCCGCAACTCCCCCGCGCATGCCCCGCTTTTGGCACAGGACAGCAAAATGTTTAGCCATCACTGGGCTAGAACATTGGAATAGAAAAACGGATGAGAATAAACCTCATCGCCCCAGTTAACCTTGAAAATGGTCGTTGAAGATCCATCCAACCCACCTCAAATAAACCTCAACGCCCCAGTTAACCTTGAAAATGGACCTTGAAGATCCATCCAACCCACCTCAAATAAACCTCAATGCCCAGTTAACCTTGAAAATGGACCTTGAAGATCCATCCAACCCACCTCAAATAGGTGCTGTAAAAAATAAATAAATACCACGTAGGCCAATTTATTGGACCAAGGGGAAGGTTTAAATTGAGGAGTAACTGCAGTCTAGAAGTTTGAACGTGACTGAATTCCACTTCTGGATGATTGTATATTAATCTAAGCTCATGGCTTGTCTTCCTTGCAGGTTAGCAAATGGGCTGGATGGCTTGAAAATTGAAAACAAAGGACGGATGTCCACGCTGACCTTCTTTAATGTCTCAGAGAAGGACTATGGCAATTACACCTGTGTGGCCATCAACAAACTGGGGAACACCAATGCCAGTATAATTCTGTATGGTAGGTATACAGATCAATGGAAGACATACAGCAGTGTTTCCCAAAGTGTGGTACGCGTACCCCCAGGGGTACGGGAAGAGTTTGGTGGGGGTACGCGTTGCACTGGAGTTTGGTGGGGATCACGTGGGAATATCCACTGCACCGTGCTTAGCTGCGCCCACAGAACAAGGAAAGAAATAGGTGCGTATCACAGTTTTTACACGGGAACTGGGGCCATCGTACATCATATCGCAACTCATTATGGCGGGAACTTCTGCGCATCCTTTGCGCAGCTCGGGTTTGGCCATTTTTAAACTGCGGGAACATTAACAGTTGACGTTGAGCCGCGGAGCTGTTTAAACGCCGGAGAATTGCAGTGTTATCTAACGGTTAGACAGTCTTGTGAGGTGTGACACGGCATGAATATATTGCACTTCTTACAGAGACAACTTACTTCTTTAATAGTTAGTTCCGGTTTTTTACGAGGGGTACTCAGCATTACAAAAAATATAGAAGGGGTACACATATGTCAAAAGTTTGGGAAACACTGTTGTAGAGAAACAGAAAAAATGAGTATCTACTTTGCATGGCGTGCAAAGATACATACAATGTATGATGAGATGACTCGGATCGATTAAAATACGTTTTTTAGAGTCGACTGGGAAACTGCAGATCCTGTTTTACAAAGCTTGGATCCTTTGGTATTCCAAGAGCTAATTTCTCCAGAAACAAGGATTCTTGGACAAAACAAAAATGCATCAATAAGATGTGAAGGATAGTAGTTACTTAAAAGGAAGCTCAAGGCAGGACCTTCTCAAACCGTAAGAGTGTTGAAGTTGTAGACGAAAAGATAATAAAGAAAATATTAGAATGTGCTGAATTGGACAGGTTAACGATGGAACGTAAAGATAAAGAGGAATCAGAGTATAACTTGGGACTTCTTGTACAAATTGTTAGATTAACAGGTGCGGAGATTAGTAACTGAATAACGAAAGAAGATCAACAAAATAGAAACAGATAGTTATATAGATATATATAAGAATATATATCGTAAGCAATAGTAATATCGGACTATATGTGACTATAGATTAAAACATACAGAGTGATAAATATATAAAGTGTTATGGTGTAAATAATGGTTATAACTATGACATACATCATTATGTATTTAAAAGAGACTATATTGTATGACTATGAAAATAACGGTTATACTCAGGGTGTATAATACTATCTATACTTAAAAAGGACTTGATACAGCCACTACACTGTTGTTGCAAAACTGGAAATGTGATGTATAATTTTTTAAAAAAAGAGTATTGAAGTTGGCCCAGTAAAAAAATCCACTGAATTTAAGATAAACTGTTATTTCAACAATGCTCCTGTAGTCACAGTCCCACTTAATCTGGTGATAGTTCAGGATAGGATTTGAGGTTTGATGAACCCTGTCATTGTACCTGAAAAACCTACTTAACTAGGAGCCTAAGGAGATGCATTTGCCCAAAATGTTTATTTGTTTAACGTTTCCTATAATTATTTCTGGGGAGGGAAGGCTTATTTTACCTCTTTATTTCAACATGGACAGTTCAGTGTATTGCATAAACTGGAAATGAGATTTTAAAATCAAGTCAAGCAGACTTTCTATCCCAAATTCTGCATTTTCAAAACACAGATTTTGATGTCCCAGCTGAGATCTCAACACCGAAGACAGTTTCTAGTATCCAGTTTTCAAAATTAACACAAGTAGTGTTGTCTTGTGGCTACTCCCAATTTTTAGATGACCACCATCTACTCCCGTGATTCGGTTGCATGCTGTCATGTCTTTCACATCCCATAATGTCATTGTTGGATACTTTTTCATTCATAAACTGAGCCATTTCTCTAAGAAGCCATCTGTTCGTTGAACTGTCTGCAAATATGAACTACATTTTTTATCCTTTGCTTTCCTCCACTCCCTCTCTCCCTCTCCCCCTGTCCCCTCCTCATGTTTCCATCATGACTTCTGTCTTAGAAATACCTGAACTTCCAGCAATGTCAAGTTGGTACGAGCATGGTTCATTCCTTTCTTTGCTTACAACCAGTGGTGGGATTCAGCCACTTCGCACCTATTCGGGAGAACTGATTGTTAACTTTCTAAGCAGTTTGGAGAACTGGTTGTTGGAAGAAATCTTATTTTGTTTTTTCCCACTTTACAGGGCTAATCCTGTAAGGAAGGCAAGAAGGAAACATTCTGGTGTTATTTCTAGCCTAATCTTTATTGTCCTACTTATAGAAACTGCCTCTCTGGTTAACCCTTATTACATTGTAACAGCTAAGGCAAAGGGTCCATCGATGTGAGTGACGTTGAGTTGGCCATGCCCACACAGTCACATAACCATTGAGCCATACCTATCCAGCTGGTCATTAGGGCAGAGAACCGGTTGTTAAATTATTTGAATCCCACCACTGCTTACAACCTATCAAAGCAAGATATCCATTTGCTAAGAAAAGAGGAGAAAGTCTTCACATTGCAGGCATGCAACGTATTTTGAATCAAGAACTTCCAATCTTGAAACCGTTAGTTTGCCATTGGAATGCGTCTTTCCCAATTTATGTGAATTGCTTATGTTTTGTTCTGAGTGTTTTATTTCATCAAGAATTTCTGTTTCAAATGAAAGACAGGACATCATTATTTAAAAGTGGGGACATTTTGAGTTTAGGACATTTGCGGAATAGAAGATCACCAATAGGACCTGAACAGCTTCAAACTCAACATGGGGAATTTTGAGGTTCAAAAGATTTTAAGTAAGATGTTTTACGAATTCCTGTAGATCTGTAGAAACTTCTTGTTGATGTGGTCTTCTGAGGAATTAAGGGATTGCTTTTAAAATGGGTTAGAGATTTTGTTGTTGTTAGTTGTGAAGTCGTGTCCGACCCATCGCAACCCCATGGACAACGTTCCTCCAGGCCTTCCTGTCCTCTACCATCCTCTAGAGCTCACACCGACTGCTTCAGTGACTCCATACAGTCACCTCATTTTCTGCCGTCTCCTTCTTCTTTTGCCCTCAATCTTTCTCAGCATTAGGCTCTTCTCCAGTGAGTCCTTCCTCATTAGGTGTCCAAAATATTTCAGTTTCCTCTTCAGGATCTGGCCTTCTAAAGAGCAGTCAAGATTGATCTCCTCTAGGACTGACTGGTTTGATCGCCTTGCAGTCCAAGGGACTTGCAGGAGTCTTCTCCAGCGAGGGTTTTTTTTTTTTTTTTTTTGCTTTAATTTATATGCCGCCCTTCTCCGGAGACTCAGGGTGGCTTACAATGCATTAAGCAATAGCCTTCATACTTTTGTATATTTATATACAAAGTCAGTTTATTGCCCCCACAATCTGGGTCCTCATTTCATCTACTTTTGAAAGGATGGAAGGCTGAGTCAACCTTGAGCCTGGTGAGATTTGAACTTGCAGTAATTGCAAGCAGCAGATGTTAATCTGTTAATAACAGTGCTTTAGTCCCCTGTACTACAGGTTACAGATAGTCCACCATATCATCTTATTCATGGAGGCCAACTCTGTCAATAGCATCTATTGTCATAGTCATGATCAGTAGTATTACCACAAAATACCACAGTAGACATGTCCTCCTTAATGTGCAGTGTTCCTGCCAACACAAGCTCAATATTGACATAACCAGGAAATATAGGAATAGGATGGAGACATGGGAAATGAAATATTCAAAGAAGATTTCCTATATAAATCATCACATTGGCATTGCATATGTTCATTTCACTGCACTTCTTGTATTTTCCCTGACCTTTGGAATGGAGGAGGGGGAGAGTGCAAAATGAGGTTTTGAAAAGAAATACAAAAAGAGAAAGTGGAAATCTCACACTCTTTTTAAAGACGAGAAAAATTAAAACTCGGTGTGGAAGGGAGAGAATTATTAGAGTCCTGCATATGATTAGGATTCCAGTTAACTTGCTTTGCCGGCAATTATCAGGCTGGGAGAAGCCGTCGTCTTTTCTGCTCATTAAATGTAGGAAGGTTTCATCCGTGAGAAACATGAACTAACCTTTAAAAACCTATTTAGCATCCCCGGAGCACTATCAGCAAAATATTATACAGAATGCAGAATAACAAAGTTGGAAAGGACCTTGGAGGTCTTCTAGTCCGACCACTGCTTGAGTAAGAGATCTTATACCATTTCAGACAAGTGGCTGTCCAGTCTCTTCTTAAAAACCTCCAGTGATGGAGGCACCCACAGCTTCTGGAGTCAAGTCATTCCACTGATCGTTCTCACTGTCAGGTAATTTTTCCTTAGTTCCAGGTAGGTGTCCCTCTGATGAGCTTCCACCAGTTGCTTCTTGTCCTACCTTGTTTTGTTCTGAGTGTTTTATTTCATCAAGAATTTCTGTCTCAAATGAAAGACAGGACATCATTATTTAAAAGTGGGGACATTTTGAGTTTAGGACATTTGTGGAATAGAAGATCACCAATAATGTCCCTCTGATGAGCTTCCACCAGTTGCTTCTTGTCCTACCTTCAGATGCTTTGAATAATAGATTGACCCTCTCTTCTCTATGACAGCCCCTCAAATATCAGAAGACAGATATATCCAGGGGTGGGCTGCTGGGGGTTCGCAGGGGTTCAGGTTCTGTGCAGTTTGAAGAACCCCCAAATCCCACTCCTGGCTGGCCCCGCCCACCACGCCCCTCCCCTCCCAGGAGTCCCCACGCAGCCTGTTTTGGATGCAGGTAATTGCAGAGTGCGCGTGGAGGCTCAGGGAGGGCAAAAAACGGGGCTACCAGAAGTTCAGGAAGACCAAAAACAGACCTGTTTCCGGCCTCCAGAGGGCCTCTGGAGCCTGGGGAGGCCGTTTTCGCTCTCCCAGAGGCTCAAGGAAAGCCTCTGGAGCCTGGGAAGGGCAAAAATGACCCCCTCCCCACCATGTTGCAGGAGACAAACTAGACCACGCCCACCATTGCCACGCCCAGCCAGCAACCGGACAGAGAACCCCTTGCCAAAATTTTTGAAGCCCACCCCTGGATATAT